GCTCCTCAATTTTTCTGCATGTTTTCGAGGGCCTTCCTCCCCAGCCCTTTGGAAATGGTTAATTCTACTTACCTTTCTAATTAGTTAGAGCAACTTGCCCAAGGGAAGAGTTAGAAAATTGACAAATCCTGGAGTTTTTGTTTGTATGATGTTATTGTTGTTGGTTTTTTTCCTGAGCCTGAAGGGGCCTTTGGTATTATTTGGCGTCCACTGTGTTCACAAGATTGTTAAATTTATAAAACAAATCCCAGATCTAGGTGCATATTTAGGTATATATTGAAAATAACTTCATAATAAAATTGATCTGAGTTAATTTCTGAGATTTGTGAAAGACCAAAGTTAACTTTTACTTTATGAGGGATTTTCAGTGTTTTCTTTGAGGGGTAATGTTGAGGCTGAGATCCAGTTTACTGCAGTTTTTTGTGTGTTTGTTTACAGGCTTGTACATCCCAGTGTTGTGTTTGCTTTATAAACGAAAATCTGAGAATGCAGCTTCCAGTGCCAATTGCCAGTTATTTCTCTCTATTTTGACTCCTGGCATTTTTTTCCCTTCTCTGTTTGCGTATGGTATTCCATTCCATATTTGAGAAGTTGTTTACTCAGGTTGAATTTAGGTGGGTTCTTCCCATTACGTTAGGTCTTATCTGTAGTGTTGAGAAAGTATATTATAGACGTTATTGAAGTGTCTTTAGTTCACAGAAGGATCCTTAGAGCATACAGTCGGGTGTAACCTAAGAGATCTTTTTTTCTCTAATTCTGATTCCATAAATCATTCAATGTGTTAGTAACTCCACTTTGAATAGAACTGAGCTATCTCCCTTACTTTTCCTCATCCTGCTCTTCACCATTGTAATTTGCTTAGACATAATATTTTTAGAATAATTCTTGGTTAACTTTTAATATATAAAACCTGCATATGATTTTAAAATTACAGAAAAGTTATCTTCCCAGTGCAGCAAGCACAATTTTCTGTTCATCTGGAGGAGTACATGCACGTGCACACACATACACCCCTTTGTTCTACCTCAAACTCAGTACTCCAGACTGACGTCTTTGTCCTATGCCTGTCACCAGTTCTCCTTGCCAGTCTCTCCTTTGTGTCCCTGGGCCTCCTGTTTCCCCACTTGCCCAGACTTGGGAGCCCATTATATGCTTTGGCTTCTCACTCTACATTACTCCCTTTATCTACACCACTGTTGTGGAATATTTTTTTCTTTCAAATTATGTTTCGTATGTGGCTCTTCCCAGTGAGTCTGTGTTGTGTTTTCTTCTCCTGAATGACTGTAGTGACCTCGCAGCGGCTTTATTTGAGTCCACCTTCCCCCTGAATCTATTGGCTTATCTTTCTTACACACCACTGGCCCTCGGAAATCTTTGATTGCTCTGTAGTGCTGGTGGAATTACACTCGTTTGCTTTTTCAAGGAAGGCCTTTTATAATTTGGCAGAGCCATAGCTCTGTGTCTGAATCCCCACAGTTCTTCAAGGACACTGGTTCCTTGCTACCCAGGTGGGTCCCTTCGGTATCCCATTGACCTCTATGCCTTCCTCCCATTGTTTGGAATGTTCTTCCCCTTTGTAGCCTTCATTGCTTTTCTCATCTTCTAAAAGGTAATCTATAATTTGTGTCATCTTTATATTTGTCATTTTCGTCAGTAGCATTGTTAGGTTTTTCTTTTTCTCTCATCGCACCCAGCACAGTTTTAAATCCATGTAAAAGCTCATTTGTTCATAGTGTTGGAACCAGTGTTTGCTCAAGTCTTCTAAGAGCCTAAATTTGTTTCTTCAGAGGAGTATTTTCAAACTTTCTGTATTCACCTTTGGATGAATCAGGCAAAGGATAGAATGTTTCATCTCTTCAAGGGGATTTTTAAAACATGTCATGTGTGTGAAGATAGATTTTTCATATGACCGTTACTGCAGTGTGTGTAAGGCTCGTGGTTGCCCAGCAGATAACTGAGAACCAGACGCCTGAAGGAGGCGGAGCACATGCAGCAGGAACAGACTCGATGGTTGACAGCACTTGGGGGAGTTGAACTGTCCCTGCGTGTGACACTTCACAGGACGCTGAGCTGCTTGACCTCTTCTCATAAAATGTCGGAAAATGCATCTTAAGTCCTATAAAACTCTTTAAGTGTTTTCAAATATCAGGTCTATGAATTGTGGAATTTTCCCTGCCAGAACAGTTTGCCTTGCTGTTGCTGATGTAGCTTTAATCGTGGAATGTATCTGGGAAAGGTAGAGTAAAAGTGAAACTTGATATTTGGAATTTTCTGCTTTCTGTGTGAAGTGTGCTAGTACTCTCAAACAATAATGGTACTTAAAACAGCATTTCTAAGGATAATTCTTAAAGTGAATTGAATCAGAAAAAGGTGTCGTACGTTCTATTCCTTTTCTATTGAGACTTGCTACAGTATTTTCTTACTAATAGTGTTTAAAGTGCTACTTGTGATACAAATAAAAGCACTGTTCAGTTTCCTTATTTTCAACCATGCTTAGGTTTTAAATTTTTATTTATTTTGTCCTGGGTGTGTTTATGAAGACAGTTAGGTGATTAAAATAATAGGGAGGTTAAGTACCAAGGAAGGGATCCATTATGCTGCTCCTGGGTCAGAGCTGATTTGTGGGATAGAAGCTTCTGCTGGGTGAGTCAGCACTGTTTCACCTGGAAGAAGGACTTAAAAATAATTGTCCTGTTTACAGAATTAGATAAAACAATGTAAATCTAAACACAGTTCTCTTACCTTACCTCTTACCTTACCTAGGTTAAGTCCAGAGGCTGTTCTAACTCATTTCCTCCCTGAAGGTGCTCCTGTCTTATCTCAGTGTTAGTGCTTTCCCCCCCTGAAAAACTCTCCACGATTAATCCCTTTTGTTTCTGGTGGTGGAAATTTGTCAAAGAGTTATCTATATTTTTTTCTCCCTCTATTATTTCCATTATATTTATTTATGTATTTTATTATAATAAAATTATTTCCATTATTTTTAATTCTCTACCTAGAAGAATTTGAATTACATAAACCTGGAAGAACTTCAAAAGTTTGGATCCAAATAAAATGTTACCCTTTGGGTCTTTGCCTGATGGGTTCCTGGCTAATTTATCTGTTTCACTTTTTGCAGATTTGTTTAAGTTGTGGCTAATGTTAACACATTGAAAAAGTACTGTTGAGTTGTGCTTTAGCTTCTTTTGTTCTTTAATTTCTAAAAACATAATAGTTGTTACTATACATTTTTTGGAACAAATTAAAATGTGAAAAAATCTCTCCACCCGTGAAAGCTTAACTCATTTTAGGAGAGAGCAAGTCTTCAAACCATTCTCAAAGATCCAAGAGAAAAGAAAGCTTTAATCTTTGAGATCATAGTGTCCCTTGTCCCTTCAACAGGGACCTCCAAACTTGTTTTTAGAAACTCCTTTTCTGTCTCCTAATGGCTCGTACCATATTAAGTATATAGAGAACTCTGTTGAGTGTGGTTCTGAGAGGAGGTAGGGGAGATCGTGGAGATTGTTTTCGTATTAGCTTGGAAAATTTTTCCCTTTCAGAGCATGAGCATGAATAATGGAATTTTTAAGACAATTTTATTGAGAAATAATTGACATACAATAAACTGCACATATTTGATAAACAAATTCATTTGTTTTCCCAAACATTAGTTTCAGCTGTCTTGTTAAATCTCATGTTAAAACCCTTGTCCTTTGGGAGAGATTATCCCTGTGACCCTGGGATTTTCTCATTGGAAGCTTGTTAACTTGGCTGTTTCCTTCATTTTCTTAGTCTCAGCTCTTTCTGTGTGTGACTTGCAGATCTTCATCTCAGAGCCCTCACCTGAACGTGATCTGCATTCCAGTTCCAGCCCTGCCATTTCTTTTTCTTGCCCGACTCCCACCTCAGGTGCCTGTTGAAGGCCCTTGCCTAAACCATGTTGGTGACCACCTTTTGGTTCTCTCCCTCTGCGCTCTTAACACTGCAGTCAGGTGCTTCTTTCTGAATTGCATCTTTGATTGTTGTTACTCGCTTACTCCCAACCCCCAACTTGAAGTGGCTTCACGTTGTAGTCAGAACAAGCCCTTGACGACAGTAACCCAGTTCCACCAGCCTGTCTTACTACCTGCTTCTGTTCAGAAACTTTTTCATTCCAATCCAGCCTTTCTCAACTGGGGTCTTACCTGAGAGTTAAGCCTTGAGAACTTAAAGCATTCGTAGCATGTAACGAATCAGTTTGTGTCCTATGCCTTTAGAATAGTACTAGTTATGTGTCTTCCTTGGGAGAATTGAGAGTGCAGTCACTCAAATCATTTTTTAATAGGGCTTACTTCTCTCTCAGATCCCCATTGAGAAGGCTGCTCCAATTAAACTGAGCTACTCTTTGGTTCTGGGACTGCTTTCCATGTCTTTGTTCCATTTATTTTCTCTTCCATCCTGTAACCAAACCTGTCCCATCTTAAACCAAAGCCTCTTGGTCCCAGGTGAAAGAACCCCATACGCACATGCTTTTATCGCACACTCTCAAAGACGTATGTGTGGAAGGCGTGTGCTCGCACGTGCTTTGACTTAGCATCTTTTCTGTGCCTGTTGTTGCCTTTTCCACTTTCTTCCTTGTAACTGTTATTAAATATTTCCTATTTCCTTTATTAGAACGGGAGGCAGACTCAATGCCTGATCAGTGCTTGTACCCCCACACCCACCGTAAGACCACGTATGCAGTGGGCACCCTAGGGATTTGTTTGGTACACTGCTGAAAAGCCCCACGGACACAAAGATAACTGCTTTGAGACACTTTAGTTGCAAATCTTACTTTATTACCAATTTTCTGTCTTTACTTTGTATCTACAAAGCCCTAATGAACCCAAATACTTAACTACCATTTTCTCTATCACCCTCTTAAACCTTTATCACTGCCTGTCCTACCTTGCCCTGCCCTAAGCCACCTTGCCCAGTAGAGAGCATTTGAGATCAAGACAGTTGCCAGTGAAGAGTGAGTTGTGAGAGGAACAGATTGAGTAAATGAAATATTGTTCAGCTATTCTTGAACTCATAGCATTTTTATTATAAATGAAGCTATCTGTGTACTTAAAATACACAGTTGAATCCTACAACAGAAATTTCTCTGTAACACATGGCCCCTAATTATTTAAAGTGGGAGTATTTGAAGAGAAAAAAACTGAGCTATCTAAAATGTCGACCAGTTCAATAAAACTTTTTTCAATAAAACCTTTTTAACTGATTGCAACTATAACCTGTAATTTTGGAAAATATAAAAAAGCACAAAAAAGGAAAGGAGATGATTATACTGATAACCTTGTGATGACTATATGTCTAGTCTGTTGTATATGTATTTTTCCCATGTCATTAAGTATTCTATTACTAAATTTTTAAAAATAGCAACTGAGGATTTCACTTTTAGGGAGAACCATAGTTTCTTTAACTAGTCCGCTATTATTCATACACTTAGGTTTTATAGTTTTTCAACATTATGAATACTGATGTCATGAGCATCCTTAAGTATAAATCTGGCACATATCCAGAGTCCTAGAAGAGGCATTGCTGTGTCAGGAGGAAGACTTATATACTTACCAGCCTTTGGGATACACACACACACACACACACACACACTCACTCACTCACTCCACCAGAAAGGAAGTTTGATCCAACTTATATTCAAAGTCCGAGTGTACAGCCTTTATGTAGTTGTCAAATTGTGACTGTTTCGTTATAAAAGAAAAACACATTAGTAGAGCAGGATACAGAGTTCCAACTGGAAAGTTTAGTGTTTTTTTCCCACAGATTATTTGTGTTCATTTTTTATTTTGTGTGTGTTTCTAATGGTGTTGGCATCTTTTTTTTATTGTAACAAGAGCTGATCTTCCCTAAAATGCTAGAGGGAAAGTCTTTGCCATGGGCTAAACAAAATGAAAGGTGTTTTAAAATATTTTGTTGTTGTAAACCTCTTTGACCTGTCTCCAATATCATATTGGTATTTCTTGAGAGTTAGTGCAATGTATATTATTTTTCTGTGATGACCCACAGTTAGCTAGAACGTGGCTTTTCCCACAGAGAAAGTTACATGAAGCCTAAGTACTAGGAATTCACGGCAGTTTGGTGAGGCAGATATTTAGGCATTTGGCAAAACTAATTGACTAAATAATTTTGGGGGAAGACTTTTGAATTTTCGTTATTCTGTTTATACATGTGAAGTACCTCAATTTACATGGTAGTTAATCCAAGGTAATGTGATAAATTCATTAAATTGTGTATTGTTCTCTTCTAGTATTAATTTTAAAGACCCGCAGTTTGCTGAAGATTACATTTTTAAAGCCATAATGCTTCCAGGAGCAAGGTAACAACAATGCAGTTATAAACTATAAACTATCTAGCTTTATTTTATATAAATGATGTTTATCCCTATAACTAAATACTGTATTTTCAAATCAGAAAACCAGCACCAGTACTGAAACCTAGTGACTGGGAAAAATCCAGCAACGGGCGGCAGTGGAAACCCCAGCTGGGCTTTAATCGGGACCGGCGGCCTGTCCACCTGGATCAGGCAGCGTTCAGGACTTTGGGGTGAGTGGTAGGTTTCTATTCTTTGTATATTTTGCTTTTTCTGAATCATCCACAAAGCGTTAAGTCAGTATTTATGCCGCAAATATTTAAGAGACCATAAATACAACCATTTTGTGGATATTTTGATGACTTTGATACTTTCCTGCTTTTCTTTATTTTTTAAAATTCACTTCTTTCTTTGGTTTATGTATTGCTTTATGTGTTGCTTGAGAATTCCATTGTTTTCTCTTAAGAGGTTTTACTATTTTTCTGACAGTTATTTCAAAAGAAAAAAGCATTCTCTTTACCCTCCAGAAAGTTTTAGCCAAATTAGTGTATGACAGAATCTGTTTAAAGTGTTAACCAGTACGTTGGTACACAAAGCTACCACTGTTCTAGGTTTTTGCTTAACCAGCACTCAAACAGTGATGTCTTATTGTTGCTTGAATTTGCGTTTCTTTGCACTGTTAGTGATTGAGTCTCTTTTTTTATCATTGAGGTCACATTGGTTTATAATGTTGTGTAAATTTCAGATGTACAATCATTATATTTCGGTTTCTGTATAAACTGCATTGTGTTCACCACCAAAAATCTAGTTTCTGTCCACACCATACACATGTGCCCTTTTACCCCTTTCGCCCTTCCCCAAACCCCTTTCACTCTGGTAACCACCAAGCTGTTTGAGATTGAGCCTCTTTTAATATGTCTACTGGTTGGTTGTATTTCCTCTTCTGTGAATTTCTGATTTTTATCTTTGCCCTTATTAGCTATTGAATTGTCTTTTTCCTAGCTATAGACAGAACTATATATAGAGAGAAGGAACTTGGAAACAATAACAGGTAAAGCTGAAATAAAAAGAACCACAGAGGCCAGCCCCATGGTGTAGTGGTTAAGTGCACGCACTCTGCTGCTGGTGGCCAGGGTTCGGATCCCTGCTGTGCACCGATGCACCCCTTGTCAGGCCATGCTGTGGCGGCGTCCCGTATAAAGTGGAAGAAGATGGGCACAGATGTTAGCTCAGGGCCAGTCTTCCTCAGCAAAAAGAGGAGGATTGGCATGGGTCTTAGCCCAGGGCTGATCTTCCTCTCTGTCTCTCTCTCTCTCTCTCTCTCTCTCTCTCTCTCTCTCTCTCTCACATACACACACACACACACACACACACACACACACACACACACAAAATAAATAAATAAATATTTAAAAGGAACAATAGGCTGGGGGAAATATTAATGAGTTATTGTTTATGAATTACCAATGATAACTCATAAATAGATATTTCCAATTCATAGGAAAATCTTAAGATTCAAAATGGGATTCAACAGTAGGTTGCCATCAGCATGTATTATACAGTGAATAGTAAGGGGCAGTGTGGTATAATGGTTAAGAGCATGGGCTTTGGATCCTAAATATCTGAATTTAAATGCCTTTTCTACCACTTGATAATTTTGTACAAGTTACTGAACCACTCTATGCCTCCGTTTCCTGTGTGTAGACGGGAATGATGATTACACCTACCTCATGAAGTTGTTGGGAGGATCAAGGGAGCTAATGTCCAGCAAGTGCTAGGCTAGTTCCTAAACACTGTGCAAATGTTACCTGTTGTGGTGGTGGTTTGTTTGGGAAGTCTTCATTCTTAATAGTAAGAGAAATGCAAATTTAAAATATTCTTAAGATATCTTTTTTGCATTATTTCAGCTATTTTAGAAAGCAACATAGAAGTACCTCTAAATAGAGTTCTGAATTCTGAAGGTACTCTTAACTTTGATGCAAATTCTTATTTGGAATTTATCCTGAGAAAATAGTTTTAGAGGAGCATAAAGTTATATGCCCAAATATCTCTCATGCATTGTTATCTATAATACTAGTACTAAAGGAGAGGACTGTAGTTAGTAAAATATGAGACATCAACATGGTAAAGTATTCTATAGATATACATATAATTCTGAAGACTATGAAAGATAAAGGGGAATGTTTGATATGGTGATTGACAGTAGCAAGATACAGAGTTGGAGTGTACACTGATAGCAACAGCATGAGTCCTGGAGGACAGAACAAATGTAATACAAACCAAGAAAAATAGACTCAAATTATTTTTGACATAAAATAATAAAGTGATTATCAACTAAGAATCTTGGTTTGACAAATGAACATTTGTTGTCACCATTACCATCAGGTACTGTTTTGAACTTTGTTCATTATAAATCTTTTAAATTTGCCTTATCTTAATCAGATCTAGTAGTAAGGAGATGACTACTAGTGTTTGTTTAATTTGTGTCAGCTGTGATGTAATGGATGCATCTACATATAATTGTTTTTTGGTTGGTGGGGGTCCTTTTACAGCCACGTTATGCCGAGAGGCTCAGGAGCTGGCGTTTACAGCAATGCTGCACCACCACCTGCACCTTATCAGGGAAACTTATACAGGCCGCTGTTGAGAGGACAGGCCCAGATTCCAAAACTTATGTCAAGTAAGTTTTTACTAATTGGTTATTTTACATGCTAAATTAAATATTACAACAAAGGTTGGTTTCTAATTTTCATTGCTAAAAATTTATTATATCTGCGGAGATAGTGGACTTAAAAACATATAATTTAGAGGAATTATAAGAGAATACTTCATGCAAAGTCTTTCAGGTATTTTTATCTTGACTATATATAGTTAGTTGAATAATATGAATTGGATTTCTTATTTTCATTTATAAATTTGCTTCTGAGTGAACCTATGCAGAAAGAGGTATGTGGAATGAATTGCTGTTTATTCCGTTAACACAGGTATTGGGGCAATTAAGTCAGGTGCAGTAGATATGGAATTGCACGACTTAATTACTTGAAAGACAACAGTATCCCTTTCTTGATCCAAATTGTATCTCAGTACTACCTAAGATAAAGTGAGGCATTGCTTTAGGTAGGAATCTGCCTTTAACCCTGTGCTTCTGTGAAAACCTTGGCCTTTACCTGACTCCTTATGACTTGTTTTATGGACAGAGGTGGTTCAGAAATGTTAAGCATGAAAATAATTACATGGCATTGGGATTGCAGTGGAAAAGGAAGAAAATAGTTGAATGTTAGACTTCATAGATTTTACATTCATTTTAAATTGTATCCCCATTTAATGTTGTTTTTGAGTTCCGTGGCTGTTTCCATTTACCAAGAAAGTATAAGGCATGTGCCAGGTTCTCAAAGCCACTTTCTTCATGAAGCCTTTGCTTCTCCAGTCCTGGTTGTCTGGTTGCTACACAACCAAACAACAGTGGCGTGGCAGGGGGAGAGGGCAGTGTGGCAAGATGCTAACATTTGTTAAATCTAAGTGCCATATCATTTAAATGTTTTTCTGAATGTTTGAAATATTTCATAAAAATTCAATTTAAAAAAGAGACAGGGCTACACTATTGCAGAGAACCCTCAGAACTCTTTTTAAAGCAAAGTTGTAGTTGTGAAAGAAGTACCAGATTAATGTGATGATTGTTGGGAAGTATTTATGCTATATGCCTACCACTGTTTTCATGCTAATTAAGTTACAAACCATTTTTTAACCTGAAGCCCAGATTTTCCAGATACAGTACCCAGGAATAAATGGGTTCTCAAGGTCTCAGTCTCTCAGGGCCCTCTGTGTTCAGTGTATTCTCTCTGTCTTTCTGTCTGTTTCTCTCTGTGGCTTTGCTGTGTGGCTTAATGACATTGAATGGAGCATTGTTAGACTCCATTGTGAAAACTATTGACTTCAGCGGTTTTATTCTATTTAGTGAAGCAGTGAAGGGGCACAGAGTTTAATGGTCCTTGTGGAGATCTGCTTGGTGCAATAGTTTATTTAGCTGCTTACCCCCCAAGATTTAGCAAATAACATTTCTGAGTATTTCCATATATGGAATATACATCAAGCCATACCACGTACAACAGAGGAGTCTAATCACTTCGAAAGACCTATCTGTTCCCTGAGATTTTACCGGTAGATAGTGAAAGCACATTCAGCTTATTTTTAAAGCCAGCTGTTTATTGATACATTCCGTATCAGTTCCCTTTTTCTTATGTCTCTTTGTCATTTACTTCTATCCATAATGGTATCACAGCTTCCAAATAGAAAATATCCAGATGCAAAATGCTAGAGCCAAGTATAATCTCTGTGGGTTATTTTAGCCAGTATTTCTCAAGATGTTCATGAGAAATTTCTGAGGGTATTACATTTAGTAAACTTGGAGAGGTCTGGAAAGAGATTTGAGTAGCCAAGGTGAAAGCAAGTGCTCTCTGGTGAGCAGCTTCCTTCCATTTGTGTTTCCTAAGGCCCAGCTGCAGCGCCTGCCGCCGCCGTAGTCTATCCAGATGTCACCTAGACAGCTACTTACTTAAAACCTTTTAAAATCTTTTTTTTACTTAAATGGATTTATTTTAAATTTATAAATTATATCAATACTATGACGCTATGGGTTAGATGTGCTTGCTGTATTTTTTCAAATATACATCAAAATAAATACATAACTATGAAGATAAAAAGCTTGTTCATGGACTCCCAGAAAATCACCTGTGGTATGCATACCACACTTTGGGAAATGCTGCTTAGATCAGTGGGTCTTAACTTTTAGGGAGTCGTAGACCCATATGAGAATCTAAAAGCCATGGACTCCCTTCCTGGAAAGTCACTCAGTGTAAGGTTCATGTAGATCTGAGTGCTCCACCACGAGGTCCTCTTGCAGCCTGCAGGACCGTGCTCCAACAATAAGGGAAAGAAAGAAGTCAGAAAGTTCTTTTTATTTATCAAGGTCACACCAGAGATAAAGAATTTCGTGCCTTTAGGGGCCTGCAGTTTTATAGTTCTTGGTTTGCCTTTAGAAACAGACAACTCTTCTCAGCATCTGTGCATTTTATTTCAAATAGAAGGGTCCCCTCTCCCCTTCTATTACTTTGAATAACTCCTCATTTTCCATTGTTATAGCTCTTATTAGATGTAATTTGTTTATACTTACAGAGAGACTTTGATTAGAACCTATTCCAGTTAGAATCTCTTTATTTTAACTATGTCATTAAAAATAGGAAATACGTTTTGTAAAGTAGGGATTGACTTAGAGCAAAAAACAAGTGGCCCTCTCTGCCTGGTGACTTGTAAACGTTGAGTCACCTGAGGATTAGTGCTGGGACTCTAATTATATTTAACATCTTTTCATAGAAGGTGGGGATGGGAGGAAGGAAAAACTTAAAAAATTGAGGACAAAAGGAAATATTCCTAGTTATTTGATGTGAGTTGATGTGTTTGCAAGTAGTATTGTCTTTTAAATATCATTTTCCAATTGCTTTCTTGTATATAGGAATAGAGTTGATTTTTTTAATATCGACTTTGTATCCAACAACCTTACTAAATTCATTTATTCTGAAAGTTTGTATGTTATTTTGGATTTTTTGCCTACACAATCATGTCATCTGTAAGTGACAGTTTTATTTTTTCCTTTTCTAATCTGATTGCCTTTTGATCTTTTTGCTTTATTGCACTACCTAGGACCTCTAGTGTAATTCAGTAGAAGTGATGATGGTGGACATCCTTGTTTCATTCATTCCCAATCTTAGGGGAAAACTTGTAATATTTCACCATTAAAAATGATGTTTGCTGTAGTTCTTTTTTCTTTATAGATAACCTTTATTAGATTGAGGAAGTGTCCTTCTATTCCTTGTTTCTAGTGGGTACTGAATTATATCACGTGCTTTTCCTTCATCTGTTGAGATGGTAAAGTTTTTTTTTTCCCCTTTCTTCTGTTATGTGGTGAATTACATGGATTGATTTTCAACTGTTAACCTGGCATTACTGAAATAAGCCTAGTGGGATGTGATATAGTGTTCCTTTTTGTATGTCACTGCCTTCTGTGTGTCAGTATATTGTGGGTGTTTTTTCATCTGTGTATTACGAGAGAGGTTAACTTATAAGTTTCTTTTCTTCACACATTGTGGCCTCATAAGACAAGCTAGAAAGTGTTTCCTACGTTTCTGTTCTCTGTAAGGGTTGCTGTACGATTATTGTCGTGTCTTAATACTTAGAAGAATTCAATGGTAAAGCCATTTGGGCCTAGCAATTTCTTCATGAGAAGGTTTTTAATTATAGATTCAAGTTCTTAAGTAGATATAGATTGTTCTGATTTTTTTGTTACTTCTTGTGTTGGTTTTGTTAAGCTCCCTTTTTTTTGTAGAAATGTGTCCATTTATTCTAAAATTTCAAATTTATTGCCAGAATTGTTCATGATATGCTCTTAATATCTTTGTAATGACTATAGGATTGTAAAATTAATTCCTGGTATTGGTAATATGTATTGTCGCTTTTTTTTTCTTGATTAGTGTTGCTAGGACTTATTTAATTTTATTGGTTTAGTTTTTTTTTTTTTCTCTTTTCATTGAACTAACTTTTAGCTTTGTTGATCTTTTTCCTGTTGTATGTTTGTTTTCTATTTAATTGATTTCTGCTTTTGTCCTCATTATTCTCTTGTAGTTTCTTTGGGGTTAAATTGCTATTCTTTTTCTAATATTTTGAGATGGAGACTTAGGTAATTTATTTGTAGCCTTTCTTATCTAATATATGCACTTGAGTGCTGTAAAAATTTCCCTCTGTCATTTCAGCTTTGTGTCATGTATTCATTTTGTTTTGTGTCATATTCATTATCCTTCAGTTCATAATATTTTCTGATGTCTATTTTGTTTTGTTATATACTCATGGATTATTTAGAAGTATATTGCTAGATTTCTTTCTTAATTTAACTGTAGGCTAAATTTCTACAAGTGGTATTGCTAGATCAAAAAGTATGCTGAATTTCTAGACTTTTGGTTAATATTGCCACATTAACCTCCAGGTAAGAGTATACCAGTTTATACTTCCTGTAGCCTGCAGCAGATGAAAATTTCTAATATCCCAACTCCCCCCAATACCAGGTGTTATCATTTTTTAAAAGTTCTTTCTAATTTGTTAAGCAAGGAATAATATATCTTGGTTTTAAGATATGATTTTTTAAATTGTGCTTTGATCATATTTTTACTAATCACTTTTTCTTTGATAAATGGCTTGTTCTTGTCCCTTGCTGATTTATTAATTTGTGTGGGAGTCTTTCTCTTTATTTGTAAGAGCTTTTTAAAGCTCTTTTAAGCAGTAGAGTATGCAGTTACATCTCCTTTCTAGAAGCTCAACTCTGGTTTTAGAAAAGACTTGGTGGTGGTTCTAGTTAGGGAGAGAGAATGAAGGTCTGAACTGATCTATGGCAAAGTGGATTCAAAGTGGAGGAGGTAGGAGAGGAAGAACTGAAGGGCTGGATAATTGAATGTGCTAAGTGAGGGAGAGAGAAGATGCAAGATGAGGCTCATGTGTGCACTGTGGGCACCTGGGTGACTAATGAGGCCTTGAATAGAATTTGCAAACCCAGGAGGGTAAAGGAATATGGACGAGTATGATGAGTCTGGTTTTTGTGGAGGTTGAAGTGCCTGAAGACGTTTAAGTCATCTGCTG